TCTGCAAGAGCCTCGCTGGTCCTGGTCTAGGCTTCCAGTGCTTTACAACTGCAGTGTTTCACACAGCTCGTTCACGGCACGTGTTCATCTGCTGTAATATCACAGTTATGCTTATATGTGTTTCTACTGTAAGTAAAACCCAATCTCTCTCTGTAGTACTTATACTTAGCACAGGGCTCACATGGCTTGGACCACAGCAGGAGTTGAAGGAATGCTTGCCGAATTAGTGATAATCAGCCAATCTTCTTGGGTGTGTTGGGCAAAAAACCTACACCTTCTCTCGTATACCAAAACAGTTACTCAGTCCCTTTATAGGTTATTCTAAATGGGTACAAGGTTACATTTACACATCTGTTTCACAAGGCAAAAATAATGTCCACAATGCTTATGGGAAAAAGTCAAGTTTGGCACTAAAGAACCAATCTTAGAAAATGTACTCAACCAGAACGCTTTACTTTCTCGCCAAGTTTGAATATTACACATTACTGCCACATAAGCACAGATGCATGTTCTTGTTCCTTATACCTGGTAGTACTGAGATAAGCCACAGCTAAGAAAATACGGACACTGTCTCACAGACAGCTTTTAAAATACAAGGCAGAATATACCATGCGTTCTTTTTTGTGTATGTGAGTATATATGCATGTCCATTTGTGTGCGCTTACAAGGGAAGCAGGGACAGTCAGTCCCCTCCATTCCCAGGTCTGCACCAAAGGGACCTAAGCTAAGCAACTGCCTGAATGCTGGACACTTACAGCCCACACGGCACTAAATTGTGCACTACTCTTGAACAGCTCTAATTTTGAGGGTTACTGTTGCCAATGACCCTTCCTTAAACTCTGATAGCAGATATGTCTTGTTCTTTTCAAAGCCAATCCAGTTGAGAGAATTATCAAGGTATCTGGCTTTGAGTTAAAGTTTCTTTGAATAGTTTTAAGATCAATATTCTGCTTATACTTTATGGGACTGAATAAGCCTTCACACTGCAGTAACAGAGGACACTATGAGGGTACAAAACATCACTTGACATCTAATGGGGAGCTTGTACAATGTCACAGTAGAAGGCACTCCTACAGCATTTTCACAGCACAGGAGGGCTTTCCTAATGCTCTATGAACCCACTCAGCACCTGGCTGAGCTCATTAGTACTTGTAGGGGTATTTTATCAGTAAAGCTGAAAACAGGCAAAATACCCATTAGTAAGATCCAACCTACAATTACACTTTAAAAATTGATGATTTGAAAAATAAACTTTTTTTTTTTTTAAACAAGCATAATGTACTAGCAGTACTGTCAAATGGACTAACATTTAAAACCTTTTTCTCATTTCTCATTATGGTGGGCTGGTCACTTTAGATAACTAGTATGTATTACTTCTAAAGTGTTGTGAAAAATGTGCTCTTCAGATAAGACACATAAGATCATTCCCTAATGTACTTTTGAAATAAAAAATGTTCCCCTATAAATTTCCACTTTACTTGAAATTCCAAAGGTCATTATCTAACTTTAAAAAATAGTTGGTAGACAAAAACGAGTAGGTTAAGAAAGAAAATTCTGGGGCTGGAGAGATGGCTCAGCGGTTAAGAGCACTGGCTGCTCTGCCAGAGGTCCTGAGTTCAATTCCCAGCAACCACATGGTGGCTCACAACCATCTGTAATGCGATCTGGTGCCCTCTCCTGGCCTGCAGGGATACATGCAGACAGGAAATTGTATACATAAGAAATAAATAAATCTTTAAAAAAAAAAAAAAGAAAGAAAATTCTGTTGCTGCCACAGAAGTTTTCTAAGATACTACTACTGTTGGTTCTAGTCCGTACCACTGCCTAACAGACAGGAACTTAGGGCAGGGTATTCAGTACGTGGGTAGCAGCTTCCAATGGGGAGTAAACCAACTTACTGCATCATAACAAGCATTAATTTTTAATGAGAAAAAATAATACAAAAATACTAGAGTGCTATCAGATAAATAAATGAACAGGGATAGCATGCAGGTAATTTACATGTGGGAGTCAAGAGGTTAAATTTGATGAAATTTAAATAAGATGAAAAACCATCACATTCCAAGTACTTGAATAGTCAGCAAATTGATACTTTAGGAAGTAGAGTTTTCAGTCTAAGGCTAGCTGGAAAGACGTTAGAAGTAATATTTCTATCTCTGAAATTCCACCAGATTGCACAGAAGACACCAGGAGCTAATGCTTCTAAAAAAGCTTAGGAGCTCATCTTACCACAGGTTATCACACTCAGCCTTGAGAATGTGTAAGCTGTGTGTTTGTGTTATGTGCACATGTATGTGCACTTGCCTGTTCATGCACACATAGAGGCCTGTGGCTGATACTGGGATGTTTTTCTAAAGTGCTTCTTCATTTTGTTTACTTGTCTGGACAGTCTCTCACTGAACCTAAAGTCTGCAGTGCCAACTGGACCAGATGGCCAGTGTTTCTCTACTTCCCATCACTGGGGCTGCAGATGAGTGCTGCCACACCCAGCTTATTTACACGGATGCCCAGAATCCAATCTCTGGTCCTTGCATATTTCAGAAAGTACTTTAACCACTAAGCCACCTTCCCAGCCCCTACTTAAGCTTTTTCCTCAAAACTGGATCATACAAATAAAAATCCACACAAACAAAAGCTGAATGAGGCGCACACATACTTGAGTCTTATATAAGCTTCATTCCTACTATTTTCTCTTTTTCATTGTTCCAATTTTGTGATGTACTTGTATGAAGGTATGGTTTATAAACAAATATCTATCTATCTATCTATCTATCTATCTATCTATCTATCTATCTATCTATCTATCTCTTACAAAGCTAAGCTTCTCATTCATATGACCCCTCATGATAATCAAGAACTCCCTAGGCCTGTGATATAAGTATTGGGAAAGGAATAAGCATGTGGCACTTAGAGATATTAACTAGATTCTCTATCTGGGAAACAAAAACATTAATAAAGCTGAATAAAAACTTAGCTGGCATGAAAAAGCAGGAAAGGGGAGTGTGGTGTGTGTGTGTGTGTGTGTGTGTGTGTGTGTGTGTGTGTGTGTGTGTGTATGTGTGTGCGTGCACGCGCGCAGCCTTATGGATCAAAGAAACTTTAGATTGAGACAAATTATTTCAGAATGCCGAAGGAAGGGAAGTGGAAATCACCACTATGGACTTTCTTCACACTTGTGTTTTTCCTTCTTTATACCTAGAAATGCCAAGTAATTACTTGATTGTCTAGCATTTCTGACATGTTGGTTAGTATTTAACTGCAATATTCTCTTTTCCCTTGATGGCCTAGACTATCCAGTTCATTTTATATTCTTTTTCTCTCTAATAGTGAAGGGTTTGGGGTTTGTTTTTGTTGTTGTTTTAATGAAAGGTAAAATCAGTTACCAGTGCCTTAAACTACTATGTTTTGAAAAGCTTTCAGATGAAAGTATTTAATGGACCAACAGTCAAGTGGAGAAACACTTCACCGATTAAATATCAGAATAAGTTACTAAGTACTCAGTGAAACATCTTTGTAAGCCCTCCAAAAACCTAAAGTAGGCCTAATCAATATATTGGGATCCTTGTTTCTAATTAGACTCATTTATTTGGCCTTCACCAAAATGTTCCCCACTTTAAACCCACTTTCATTTTAGAATTACCAAACAGAAATTCAAGAAAAAGACTTCTTCCATATAGTAGAGAGCAGTGAACAGGAGAAAAGCCAAGACAAGGTGGTCTTGGTTAGAACGCCAGCTTAGCTATGCAATAACTTTCCAAGTGTAGACAGATGACCAAGTCCTCCTACAATGGGAAGAGAAGCCTAGACCCACACTTCACAAGGCTGTCCCTAAGCATCGTGCTTGTCAGTCACACGGCATAGTGATGATGACATTGACCTGCACTTCAGCAGTGTCTGCCTTCCACTGCCTCCCATCTTTAATGTCTACAACTGCACGCTGATCAAAGGACAGGTACATGAAAATCACACCTCGTAGTCAGAGCTCTTAATCAGTAAACTAAAACGGACTGTTTTTCTCCTTTTCATAGGAACAGTGGTCCTGTCATTTGTGAAGAAGCAGAAGAACACCACCAGCATAGACCAAGTATCTCCTGAGCAGCACAGACACAGTGGATGGAAGCCGTAGAACGTGAGGAAGAACAAAAGGCTGGACAAACAACTACCCAAGAAAGCAGAAGGCAATGACCTCAAAAGAACAAGGGAAGTGAAAAGATTAGAAAGAGGATTTTAACAGGAAAAAGATTTGTGCAGCTCTATTGAGAAAGGTGTATTTGAGGACTGAGACACGAGACTCGCTAAAGCAGGCAGCTGGAGGGTTCAAGGCCAAGAGCAAAGCACTTTGCAAGGTGGAAGAAGCGTGTTATGAGTAAGCTGACAAATGCTCACAAACAAGAGATTATCTGCAAAGCTGGACTAGCCAACCAAAAATAACACAGAACTGTGCATGTCAACACTTACATGTACATCTAGGTTCATTAATCCTGAATGTAGGTTAGGGGCATTAAAAGAAAAATCTATACAACAGTCAAAAAGGTCCATTATTAAGACTTTCCCCCTTGAAGATTCAATCTATAGACTAATGAATTATTCTATATATTTGAAATTTCACTGATTTCCTTTTCTAATAAAGCACCTTATTCCAAAGTAGCACTACTATAATCTTTTTTCGTGGTTTTTATCATTAGAACCTACTAAAAGAAAAATAAACTTGAAAATCAAATATAGTATAATTTTTAAAAGAATGGAATTAATATAGACTCAAAAGTGCACCTCAAATGGGCTATTTTCCCCCAAATCAAATCAGTATGAGCCAGGTGAAAAATAACCATTTATTAAAATTCTATCTAACAGTTTACAAGTTGCTGAACTTTAACGTGTATTCAATTGTTGCTTATCAAAAAGAGCTATAGCTATCATCTAACTTATGGGCTCCAGTCTGGTGAGGAGAGAAAGAGAGCACTCTATCCAACAGACTTGTTGTGACATCTGTTCACACCTACCTGGACCAGGCACAAGTCCAGCACTCGTCCTTCGTGCACAAGCGCGGAAGTGGTTGGACAGGCTAACAGCACTTGTAAACGTCGTAGTGCAATGCACACACGTTCTAAGCTTCACAGGCACACCTATCATTCAAAAGAAAACTATAATCCAGTTCTCACTTCAAAAAGGGAAATTTTCTTAGCTTAACGTGTGTAGAAAAGTACCACAGAAGATGGTCTTTGAAACGTTCGTTGAGTTGGCTTAGTGTGAATTAAGGAAGGAGTTAACTGTTAGCTGTGGCGGTTAGTATTCAGAGTTGGCCCTTGCTCCTTGGAAAGGTGGAAGGCGGCCTGACCCCCAAACCCCTCAGCTAACTCCCACTGTTACTCTCTTGCAGATTTCTGTGTTACGCAGATCATTTCTTAAGCCTATGATAATTCAACTTTGTGATTTGAATAGCACAGTTCTGCTGCAAAGGCTCAAAGCTTACAATATACCAATAAAGAATTAAAAAGTCTAGTTGACAAAGTGGTAATGAAAGTGTTTTACCCACAAAACCGTAAAAGGCCTGACTCTAAATTAGGCTTTCCGATGAAGGCTGGGAGAAGAGGTGGTAAAACACACCACTGAACAGCTGTTAGACACAACATTTTATTCAGGGCATTTTATGTTTATTACTCTGAATGCGCAATCAATAATGCAAGTTAATGATTTGAAGTTTTCTTGCTAAAATCTTTGTGCTAAATAAATGATCAACAAGCCAATACTACCACAGGAAAGAAAACATGTTGAAAACTAAACTCTATATAAACTTTTCAGACAACTGTCACTCCCCCAAAACATTTCAACAGGTGTCATCAACACTATTATGATGGTCACAATACTGTCTCATGGTTAACACACTAATATGCTCTCTGAACTTCATCCTTCTTTAAAGGAGAACACTACTAACATGGAAAGATTGTTTCTATGGAAGAAAGCACCCTACTATCCAGAATCCTACATCAGAGAAAGCATTTTTTCTAATATTCCCCTAAATCAAAATTACAGTACAAATATTTGAGATATTTAGTGCTTGCCAAGAAGCAAATCAGAATTACAGTAATGTGATTCTTTACTAATCCACTGGCCAATTTCTATTAGCTAAGACACAGTCAACATAGGCTCACATACACAACCTTCAACACTCTTCACCTCAAAACAAATAAACCCAAAAGACCCTTCTAGTGTTTGAGTATAAACCAGACCTAAGAATACCAAAATACAGTTGGGTTATTTACCTGCCACATCCTTCCCAGCACATTCAAAATATTCCTTCAACAGAAAGAAACTTGGCATACCAGCACTAAGAGAAGCACCTGCTCTGCTGTAGTAGAACGCAACTGTAAAATCCAAAGGCCGAGCAAACATTTCTTCATATTCACCACAGTTCTCTCAAGGCACACCATCCCATAATACAATGAGCTTCAGAGAGGAGACGCTTGTGGGGTTAATGGCATCACAAAACAGGTACCAGTCCTTTGGTCTAAAGAAGCTGTTCTGTACTGCCTTGCCTAAGCAGCAGGACACCAGCAGCCCAGTTCTGAAAACACCACTCTGCAGCACTGGCAGAGACGTGCCAGAGGTTGTCCCTTTCAATAGTGCAGTGCTGTTAACCATCAGCCTCTCACACTATCGCAGCGCCGATTTTCACAGGTCAGTTGGCTTGGTGTAGGGGTGTGTGTGCGTGTGCATTTTGCTTTGGTTCTCAACTTACGTTCAGATCAAGAAATGAGGCAGAGACTCAGTGCTGCCGGGCATCTACTGATTGGCCATAGCAGAATAACCAATAGGCTCTGCAAATGCAGCAGCTCAAACAGGAAGATGCTCAGAAAGCACTGCCCAGATGCTCCACCTCACAAAGCGCAACTCAACTGTGTTTAACTAAGTCACAGCGTCCTCTTACCTGAGTGCATAGTCAAGTCCATTTTTTGTGGTTGATACATCAAGGGACTGTCTTCATGTAATGGAAGAACACATTTCTGGACAAATCTCTTTCTTGCTGTCTGGTTATGGATCTTCTGAGGAGAAAGAGCAGAATTCCTTTCTTCACCCATTCTTTTGTTTCTAAGAAGTTCTATCAGTGTAAGAGACTGGTTCTTTTTTCCACTGGGCAGTTCAGGTTTTGTTTCGTCACATTCATTTAGGAAACTCAGGCCTTCTTCCTCTGATGCAGACACTGACAGAGCCTCTGTCTTTAGGCCATTACGGTATTCATCAAGAGGTAAAACATTCTGAGACAGGAAGTCATCACCTGATGTGAGTTTCTGAGCTACAAACGGTCTGGGAATAATGCGACGACTGTTCAGTGCCTTTAAAATCTTTTCATACTTCTCTTCATTCTGCATCATCTCATTCAGAACACAGATTGGAGATTTGTGAGCATCCCACTTAGTTTTCCCAAGTCTTTTCAGATGGCCTCTGACATGATTTGATAACCCAATCTTTGTGTCAAACCAACCACCACAGAGCTGACAAGTGTGTTCAGAAGTAGTCTCAGCCTTCTCTACAGCTAAAAGAGATTGTTGAGAGCAGCGTCAGACTCTTTGACAAATCCCCATCAATGAATTAACTCTGAAATACGAATTCTGTGATTCTAAGAAGGACCAAATTCAAACACCATTTTCAACTCCTCTGAATCTCAACAATTTATTAGGCCCCAACTATCTCCACAGGTGAACTTACCTTTTCTAACTCGCTTCACAGGCGTCGCTGCGCCAGTCCTTTTGAAATGCTGCATTTTGTCACTTGTGGCTATTTGTTCTGGTGACACAACGTGACGGGCTTCATAGCTTAATCCCGCTCTATGAAGGTGTCCTCGGACGTGGTTGGACAGCCCAACACCTGTTTCAAATGTTGCTGGGCAATAAGGACAAGACTTCTTCTCAAGGGACAAATCAGTCCAATGAAAAACAGAGTTATGCTTTGACAAAGGCGTTTCTGCGTTTTCCAAATGCTGAGGATCGTGTATCTCGTGTAAAAAGCTATTGGTGCCACCGTCTTCATAGTACTCAAAATAAAAGCCATCGTTCTGATTGTAATTAAGGGCAGCACTGTCTCCAGGACCTTGGCTTTCCATCTTGCTTTTAAATAGGGGCAACAAGTTCACATGCTCCTGACTGAGACCACCGTAGGCGTCTCCTTCCATGGCCTGTGTAGTGTAATCACCCAGCTCAACATTGTCCCAGGAACTGTCATCTTCTGTTTCATAACTGTCCTTCTTTTCAGCAGAATTAAGCTTTTGCAAAACAACAACAGTCATTTTATGCAGAAAATCAGGATAGCTATCCAAGTCTTCTCCACCAGAACTTTCCTTCTTGGAAGCCTTAACTACTCTTTTTACGGCTACACGCTTGTGATCTGGCCTTTTGGTGTCTGGGTTATGAGGGTCTGAAATAAAATTATTATGAGAATTACTTGATGATGAAAACAGATGTAAAGAGTTTAATGAATTAACCTCTTTTTTGAAAGGAAGTGGGTATGATTCACCTGATTTTTTGATCATCCTGTAGTTTTCATACTTGTGTCTATATAAATAACTATTTGCCCTGGCATTAGATTTTTCTTTTGCTGCTTGATGGAAATACTTTGGCTTTTGGTCAGTGCTGCTTTTAAACGTAACATTCTTGTGAGGAGAGTTGTTTTGATTGCATGCATTTACACCAGACTGGGCAATACTTTTCCGGGCTTTTTGTATTCTATGTGGCCGCTTATGAAATTTTGATAAATTACTCGATTGTGAGCTTGATGCAAATGTTCGTTTAACATCTTGTTTTAAAGCAGAGTTCTTTGGAAATGTGGCTGACTGTTGTTTAACTAATGGCTTAGTGCAATCGACATCTACAGATTCCTCCACGATGTCACTTTTTCTTTTGTCAAGTCCAAGAGGATTCAATGAATCAACACATGATGGGGAATGCAAATACTCCATGTGCTTTTTCAAAATACTTCTGGCTGAAGTGGTAAAGGGACACATTTTACATAGGTATGTAGCTGACTTTTTGGACGATCCTGTAACAGAGTCTTTCATCAAAGTCTTTTTTTGTGTTTTCCTCTGAGTTACATCGGAACTGACGATAGGACATTTCACTGCTGCTCCATGGGCAATGCCTCGGTGGCATTCCAATTCATTTTCTGTCACTGCCATGAAGTTACACTCTTCACAGCAATAGTACCTTTTGTCTTTCTCATGCGTTTTAGCATGTTGCACAAACGTCTTAGGGCAATTGGTACCAAACACACACTGAGGGCACTGTAATCGCGCACTTCTTCCTTCATCTTGGAGTTCTTTCAGTTCACGAATTTCTTCCATCAGCTTCTGTCGTCTTTCTTGGTGAATGATCATGTGCTTCAGCAGTGAGTTGCGGTCCCGGAATGTCCGTCCGCACTCCCTGCAGGCATACGGCCTTGGGACGTTAAGGTGGCGGAAGTGGCTGTTCCCGTCCAAGTGGTACATCATGTGCCGGTGCAAGTGCTTCTTCTCCCTGAAGTTCACGTTGCACTTGGTGCAGGGGTAGAAGGACGGCTCTTCGGTACTGAAAGGAGCAGGGGACTCACAATCACTCTCTTCACATTTCTTTTTTAAGGTATTTGAAATGGAAGTGCGAGTATGAGCAGGTGAATTATCTTCTCCACATTTATCTGAGTTATAAACCAGATGCTGGAAAGTATCCACAGACTCCAAGTCTTCGTCAGCAGATTCCGGTTTCACTTTTGACAAAGTGTATTTCTGTGACTCTATTGCTTGTCCCTCCTCATTCTGCCCCACAAAGTCGACCTCTATCACTTTTGATTTATTGGGTACACGATTACAATCACTAAAACAACCCTCTGAGTAACGAGTTATTTTGCTTACATCCATTTTTCGCTTTCTCTTTTTTTCTAGACCTGCTACTTTAGGAAGAACCGGAGGTTTATCCACTGTTTCTTCATTAGTCATAAGAAACTGAATGAACTCTTTTTGGGGATCCCAGTTTGTATCATTTTCTGGCCTAAATTCATCTGTACCTGAGGAAATTCCTGCTAATGTATTGACACAATCATCTTTTACCAATACATCTTCATTACCCTCACCCACCTCTACTTGATTTAGTAAAGTGCTCTCTGACTTCATACTACTCCCTACTGAATTCGGAACATCACAACCAACTAAAGCAGAGGTAGGTAGTTTTTTAATGGAATGGGCTGTATTCTTAGTATGTGCTACATCTGATAACAAAAACAGAACTTGGTGTTGACTTGCTTTTTGTGGTGCAGACAGCTGAAGATCAGCTGCTGCCTTCAACGTTGAACAAGATTCTGTTGCTGGCTGATCCACAGGCTGTCCAGTGGTTAATGAAACACTACCTTCATTCATATTGGAAGTCTTTGTTAAGGAGGAGCGTGAAACTGGTCCATTAACGACAGCTCCTGTAGGCAAGGTAAAGTTTTCACTAGAAACAGCAGGAGCGCCGGCAGGTATAAACAAAGCAGACTGGCCTCCACTTAAGGCTTTTTCTGATTTATCCTCTGACAATTCTTCAGACAGAGTCAATGAATTGTTTTTCTGAAATGATGTCTGACAATCTTTTGGTTTATGAACTCCACTGTCTTTCTCTGAGATAAAATTGCTGTCATCTTGGAGTTCTTCTTTAGCACCAGTAATATCGGTGTTTATCTTCAAATCATCCATATTGATGGCAAGATCATTTAACACATTTAGTCTAGAAAATGGAAAACAAAAATTTAGATTTGCATGAAAGACATGCTATTGGAATGTAGGGAGAGTTGGAAGTATACTTTGGCTTATCTTTATATTGATGATACTAATAATTTTTAAGGAATCAGAAAACATTTCAAAGAAAATTGAACCACTTTAAAAAAATTTTCAAAGCAAATATTGCTGTTTGAGCTTTCTAGAAATTCTGTATTCTACACAAACTAGCCAGGGAAACGGAGCATGCACTCACACACAATATAAATGAATGCATTACACATTGAAAGAAAATTTAAAGTATCATGCATAAATTTATGATAAAAATAACTCTCTGGTTTGAACAGACTTCCTAAGGATAGTTACTCTACACAGCAGAACTGGAACTGTCAACTATTGTATGTAAAGAACTGTTTTTTCACCTGAAAGCTCTTTCCTGGAGAAAAGTAACAAATATTACAGAGTAAATCATTTAATTTGGGTCAAATAGACTATTTGCAATCAACATAAATGGCTTACCTATGTATAAAATAGTATTTTTTACTTCTAAAGTATTTTAAAACTGTTTTGTTCTCAAGACAGTGTTCTATCAAAATTCTACCAACTATAAAACTGTTTTATTTGTAAGGCTCTAGTCATTCTTTATTCAAGTTATCATTAATTATAAGTTATTAATGTTAAAATCAATCAAGTTTTATGCTAAAATTTCATACACTGAGATTTCAAATTCTAGGCATTCCCTAAAAGCAATTATACAATTTATAATCTGACAGAAGTGCAGAGGCCTAAAACTTTTTTACAATGAAATGTCACAAATACTTAGTTTATTTCATACATAATGTAGATGAACATGGCAAAGTACTTTTGATCATATATTGAATTGTTATAAGAAGGCAGAACAGAACTTTGAGAGAAAGGAGCATGGCTGAGAGACAGTCACATGTGGCGATGATTACTCCCCTACATCACTGGGCACTCTTCCACACAGCTTTTTGAGAAGTGGATACAATGTACCAGAATTGCTTGTCTTTAACTCCTAAGGGCAGGGACACAACCTGGTCACCATCATGTTTCACAGAACCACATGGCAAAGGCGCTAAGCAGTGTTTGTTAAATAAAGGACTAAGTGTTGAATAAGTAAAAATGCAACTGCAAAATCAAAACCCAAAGAAAATTTGCTTTCTTTCTATGAAATCTAGACATATAACTCGAATACAAGTCCTACCATGGTTCTGGACTCGAGTCAGCAACTGTGACAAGGCCTAAAGAACAACTCCAGTACGGAAGCAGCCGCAAGAGAGGGAAGGAAGCACAGCCCACTGATGCTGCACCCTTCCTAAGCACTTGCTATGCGCCAGGCACAGCTGTGCTATGAAAACACAGTAAACAAGGCAGCCTTGGCTTCTTACTTGCAGATAAAAATAAACCCTTCACATTATCTTGGCGGTATTTTAAAACTGTACAGTGAACAATACTATTTTAAGACAGCAGGGCTCTAAAACTCAATCCAGAAATTAAGATGTTTGGAGTGATTTTCAGTTGGAGTATAAATTTCATGTTTTATAAAACATTAACTCTAGCATAAGAATAAAGGATTTGTAATAACTGTCTCATTTCATAACTTACAAAACACATTCTTTCAACAAAATGCTTAATAAATGCATCAAAGATTACAAACAAATATCATAAAAGATCTTTCTTTGGCATTGTTTATACCAACAATCATAATTCCTTCTCTCACACATTTTAGAATTCTGCTTTGAAACTGGCAAACTTCCACAGTAATAAAAATAGACTTCCAATAAGATCATATTCAATGATATCACCCCAAAATGGTGCTAATGCAGCACCCAGCAGGAGTCTACATCACAAACACAGAAGTTAAACACAGGCAGCACATAAACATGTGTGAGGAAAGAGTGTACAAATGTCAAAAGAAAAGGGAGGCTGGTGCTGTCCTGTTACCCGTCCCGGTATTTCTTTCTCACTGAGTCCAGGAGAAGAGTAAAACGCCGCAATATTAACAACCACCTCATAAATCTGTGATGAATGACAGTTTTTTAACTAGCCTGGAAGACACTTTCCGTTTCTATTTATTATAATCTCAGAAGTAGACAAATATATGCTCAGTCAATTTGAAGCCTATATTAGCTTTTCTCAACAGGAAGCAGCGTTGCTAACGAAGTGGTAAATTCAGTGTTAATGAGTGGCTTCACTGTTACCACCTCAGAGGTAAAGCCTTCCATGTTCTGTGTTCCACCCATCTGTTCTGGTGTTAGAGGTTCAAGGATGGAACAGACGCTTTCCATTTAAAGCAACTTCACTGGTACCCCCTGAACAGCAGGATGACAAACCACGAGAATGTCACGTCGTTTTGGAGGCTGCATCCCTGTTACCAGAATGGCTTAATAAGATCTTCTAACTTCACATTTGGACGACACCAAACCATTTTGCTCAAAGACGTAGGAAGAGTACATGTGTAAAACATAACTGATCCACAAGACATTTCTAGTAAAGAAAGGAAAACTGAATTACACTGCTAAAACATAAAATCAGGTCTTTACCAGTCAGTTTTTCTTTATGTCTACATAATGAAACGTGGCTTAACTAGCTACAGATAGCTGTATTTATGAACAACTAACATTTCTGGGGGGTTTAATCTTCATAATATATTCTGACTATAAAATGCTTCAAGTATTTTATACAATTTTCAGGGCCCAGTGACACATCATTACATTCCGTGGCACTGAAGGAAGGATCTGTAATCTTGACATCTATTCCCTTGAATTCACAGAGGAGTGTGGTCATCCAGGTAGAAGGCATTTGACCTATAAACTAATTTGACACTTTTTCAAACACTTTTCCACTACCTTTATATGGACAAATACATACAGCTGAGCCACCATACCAGTATATTACTGTAGCAAAGAAGAAACATATCTAGAGATAATCATTATTTATTAAATTTAAGGAAGCTAATTGGTGCTAGGTGGCTCAGTGGACAAGAGCACTGACTATTCTTCCAGAGGATCTCGGTTCAAGTCCCAGCACCCACATGGCAGCTCACAACTGTCAGTTACTCCAGTTCCAGGGGATCTGACTCCCTTACACAGAGAAACATGCATGCAAAAACCAATGTGCATAAAATAAAAATAAATGTATCGTTAAAAATGTTTAAAAAATAAAAATAAAGGAAGCTAACATTTAAAACATACTATAATGGTATAATGTTGAAAAGATTTCAGTGTTTAAGAGAACTTGAATTTGATGAATTCAAAGTACTCCTTAGGACTCTTTAAATAATGTTTAGATGGCACTACTAAAATCCTTCTATAATCATTGAATCACAGAATCTTCCTCTTAACTGAATCTAAATATGCTCTTTAAACAATTCATACTTTTTTAAAAGCTACAAATGGGGGTTTAAAATCTACATGAAACGTATTTCAGTTTCTAGAGAAGCATAATGAGTTCTCCAGCTGTAACTGCCTCTAGTTATACTGTGAGCACTAAAAAGTACAGAGGTCAGATCTGTCTTCAAGATGACAGATCATCACTTCTATGCCTCCAGCTAGTCTTATTGTCTCAGAAACCTCAAACATCAGTATTTTTGCAAACTATCAGCACTTGCTATAACACCCTCACTACACTACATCTTGAGGTTACTACAGAAGAAATGAGGTGATAATTGCATATTAACATAATTATTCTGTAATCCCTCTGAGCAAGCTTCCTAGGTCACTCAGTAATTCAGATTAGATACAACCTTCCTGTCATCAAATCTATGTTGTCCACTTTCTGTTCATGAATAATTCTTTTTTGATAAAAATTAGCTTAATTTCATTCTTTTATGTACATTATTAATTGTATTTATTGCAAGTAGGTTAACATTTTGTGGGTACTTATTACATAATGCCAACCTTTGTCATATAGTATAATTTCACATAAAATGTAGCATAAATTTGCCCCATTCTAAGTTAGTTCATTAGTAATTGTATTACACAGCTATAAATAAATTATAATGTTGCCCACTAGCTGAGTTCTAGTCAGGTTTTCACAAACCCTATGTTCATTTACATTAGCCTTAGAATACATGACAACTTCAGCTAGTAATATGAGAGACTGGGTCAAGGAGAGAAAACCACTCACAAACTGTCATCTTAACTGCAAAATAAATCCCAATTAACTATATTTAAATCACTATATTATTTAAGTCTATAAGTGCTATACACAATGTAACAACATACAAACCTAATTCTCACCCAGATTCTACTAGAAGACAAAGTATAATATAAAGACACATATTACATAGACAAAGCATATTACACATCATCCAGGTAGTAACTTAATGAGGGTGTCACAAAGAATGGAAATGCTATAAAAAATAAACACTTACACAAAAATAGAGCTAAAACCAACCACAATGTCATATAATAAAACAGAGGCAACTCAGTATGTTTAGTCTCACAACCCATACAGTTTACAATCCACAAGTTCTTCAAAGCTTGTCATAGGAACAGAACACATAGTCAAGATCTTCAGACTATAAGGATGGAATTTCACCTTAAAATTAAGAAAAGCCAGGAACAGGAACTTCTTGACCTTGAAGATGGTTGTCTCACACAAAAGCCAACTAAAATGGCTCAGCCAGGAACACTGAAGAACAGAACCCAAGGTTGAAGATCAAGTAAGATCATTTCTAAGGTCCTTTCTTACCTGTACAATACATATTAATTTAATTCAATTACATCACCAACCTGCAACACTATTTGAAACTAGGATGAAAATTTAACTACTGGACTCTCGACACTTTCTAATTTCACAATCACTTGGAACAATCTTTTAATAATCACTTGTAACGTTTTGACACAATGACCCTGGGCACCAAGTGACTAACACCACACTGAAACTACAGAGCTTTCTCTTACCATGAAAACTTTCAAGGATCGTAAGGCAAACACATGTAGATAACTACAAAAACACGAGGTATGATGGGGTACAGGCACGGAA